GTATTTCCTCAAGTCAATTGTTTCTTCCAATTTCATGCATGCACACCAAGTACCAAAAAGTTTTCTTTGGGTTACTGCTGATTACCATAAGAATACATGCAAATTTTAAGTCACTATAATTTTTCAAAAAACCTGTGAATTGATTTAAAATTTTGCAGGTAGCTTTTTGATAGTAATAGGAATCTATAATAACATATTCAACATGCTAGCATTGTTTAAGTGTATGGCCTATAAATCTTTAAAGAAAGATAGCACGGATGGATTGAGACTAATATGAACCTGCTGTGCAAATGTGCACCCGTGCACTGGGCACTACGGCAGTTTCAGCACTTTCAGCATTTCAGCACTTGGCACTTGGCACTTGGCAGACTTGACATAGCACTGGGCTTGGAGTTACCGGTTGCCCATGTGTGTTTTCTAACCTTTATTTAACTTCAAATTTGAAGAGTTCGGCGCTCATGTATCTTTAAAACTATGTCTGTGTATCATGATGAAGTAGAAATCGAGGATTTCGAATACGACGAAGACGAGGAAATATACTATTATCCATGTCCTTGCGGAGATCAGTTTCAAATATCAAAAGCGGATTTGGCTGCTGGAGAGGAAGAGGCCACATGTCCTTCTTGTTCATTAGTTATTAAAGTAATTTATGATAAGGAAGCATTTGCTACTAAAGGAGAAGAACTAGTTAAAAGTAAAGAGAAAGAACTTCAGGTTCAAAAAGCCTGAGATTAATTGGAACTACATATTAAGTTTAAGGTTAAGTGGACATTACTGAATTAAAATGAAATATATTCACAGATATTAAAAGTACACTTGAGATTTGCAATAATAGTTTCCATAAATTTTGTTTATAGGTTTCTTTTTAGTCAATTGTCATCATAGAAAATCATAGTATATGGTCGCTATGGCTGGACGTGGTAGAGGAAGAGGTAAACCCTCCATGTCAATCAATGTGGAACAGTTGGGTTTTACTAAGGGAGAAGCATTGCCACCTCCAGTTTTACAACCACCGCCAAAGTATCCTCCATTAGAATATAAGCCACTACCTCTAAATATCACTACAAGTATGAACTATCTGTTAGAACTGAAAAGGGGATATACAGAATACTTACGAGAATCTCCCAACAATGTTCTGCCTATTATAATTAAAAAGGATATCGAACGATATTCGGACAGGTATCAAGATTTGATCACTGACAAAAGTGGTTACGAAACTAGATACGATTGGAGCAGAATGCCGGCGGAATTAAAGCCTCGGTCGCGGAAACGCAAGGGACCAAAGCTTGATAAGTCGGAGAAAAAGCAGAAAAACATTGACCCAGAAATTAAGTTACAAGAATTAGAGAAAAAGGAAAGCTCGCAACAAAGTGACGCAGAGGAGGAGGAGGAAGAAGCAGAGGAGAAGGGTGAGGAGCATCCGGAAGTCGAAGAAGAAGAGATGGACGAGGAAATGGACGAGGGAACTGATTACGTGAACAATTACTTTGATAATGGTGAAGGTTACGACGATGAAGACGATAATTTAGACGATGGACCTATTTATTAATATAAGAGATTTTATAAGAATCGGAAATTGTCTCTTCTCTCGTTAATTTGACTAAAATACTTACAAGCTTCTAGTTGAGCACTGTATGGCAATGTGTATATATATGTATGTATTTTTTTATTGAATCGCGTGTACAGACAATAAATTATTTCGTTATATGCTTAAATAACAGCGAGATTTTTCACGCATGGGCCCCTTATATTTCCCAGTTGTAGCAAATTACATACACATATTACTAACATAAGTGAAACATTGTTAACGAAGGATAAATAGATAAAAATAATATATTAAGAAACGGGAAATCATTTTTTCTTCTGTTAGAGCAATTAAAAAAGACCAAAGTCACAGGAAGCGTCGGCGTGTTCTTTATTACGAGTATTTCAATTACTAATATATAATATATA